CTGCCAGGAGTCTTGTCAACACATAAACCAAAGCCAACCCCAGAAACTTCGTTATCTTTTACAACTGTGTGTACAACTCGTGTACAATTCGTGTATTCAGGAGATTTAAGTTCACCTCTATGAAATAATCACGCGCGGAAATAATAAATTCTTCGATATTTTCTTCAAATTATAAAAATATTTTTTTTTTTAATTGCAATTATAATTATTATAATTATTATTTATTTGAATTATAAATGTATTTTGTTTAATACATATTGTTTTCTTGGAGTAAATAAAGTATTTAATAAAATATCACGACTCTACGCTTCTTCTTATTGTAATAGCCTGGAAAAGAAAAAACAATTTACCCGTATAATAATAACAACAGCAACATTGGCAGCAATATGGATGAAAGTAATATCAACATGTTTAACCTCGTGCTTAAATGTATAAAATATATTGAAAGATTCGATGAGAGTGATAGAAATCAGCTGCCCGATTTTTTTACTCAAGTTGAGAATATTTTGCCAGCCATAGAGATCTTTAGCGAAAACAGTAAAAAAATTTTATTTGATTTTATAAAAAATAAATGTGTGGGGGACGCGTGAAATATAATTCATAGATTCGACACGCCATAAAATTGGCACGAACTTAAACAAATATTAAAAACAAATTTTGGTGAAACGCAGTCGATTACGGAACTAATGGGCGAACTAAAAACGATCAAGCTAGAATCGACCATTGAAAATTACTATTTTAAATTAAATGAAGTCAGAAACAAAATTTGTAACAGAAAATTAACGCATGACGAGCTTGTGTATACAAACGGAGAGATAAATAGAACATGCTTAAATATTTTTATCAATCTTATACATATCATGGGCCACTGTTTTCAAATTACCCCAAAGGAAGTTTACCTAATTCTAGCAACGCAAATTTCAGCGATAATTTTAATTAAAACAGAGGTTAAAATCCAAATTATTTTAATAGAAACTACACATATAGATCCAATAACAATAACAATAGTAAGACATTATATAACCCTCCTAAAAATTATAATAATACTAATTATAGTAGTAATAATAATGAAGAAACTAGGCAAAATACAAATGATAAAAGACAAACTAGAAGATCAAATTAGTCGCGCAACTTCGACCCAATCCCAATGGAAATTGGCAATTCTAATATAAATTTTCCCAGCGACAGGTCCAGAACCTACCCTACATAAAGATCAGAACAAGAGTTAGAAACCTTTATTTTTTAATCGATATAGGTGCAGAGTTTAGCTTAATTAAAGAAAACATTTCTAGCCCAAGGAAAATAAGGAGAATATCCAAGCGAATATTAAAGCTTTAAGGAAAGAACTTGTTACTCATAAGTTATGTAGATTTCCCAATTTTGACGAATTTAATGCAAAAAACTATTGTTGCTCATTCCTTGAATGCGACATAAAGAACAAGTTTGGTAGAACTAAATTGTACTATTAATTATTCAAAAAAAGTTTAATAACGAAAAATTCAGCAATAAAGATATATTTAAATGAAGAAGATGAAACAAACGAGATTAACAGTATAAAATTATTTACTAATACATAAGAATACATATTTGACAAAATTAAAACTGATCATTTAAATAGGAAAAATTCAAAATACTTATAATACTCATAATACTTAAGTCAATTATTGTTAAAAATTATAAATAATAACAAAAAATTATGTACCAATTTACCCAAAAGCATACAGATACCCAAATATATAAAAATGAAATTGATAAGCAAATAAAAGAAATGTTGGATTAGAAAATAATCCAAAAATCGCATAGTCCATATAATAGTCCTATTTGGATAGTGCCTAAAAAGATCAGTGCAATTAGAAAAAATGGCGTATAGTAATTGACTATCACAAACGTAATGATAAAACAATTGAAGACAGATTTCCAATTCCAAATATGGACGACATATTTGACAAATTAGAAGATTGTAAGTTCTTCTCAACATTGGATCTGGTAAAAGGATTTCACCAGATTGAAATGCATCCAGATGATATATCAAAAACTGCATTCTCAACTGCGAATGGGCACTAAGAGTTCTTGCGTATGCCATTTGGCCTGCGAAACGCTCCTTCCACATTTCAAAGATTAATGAATTGTGTTTTAAAAGAATTTATTGGAAAAAATTGTCTTGTTTATTTAGACGATATAATCATTTTCTCTTCAAGCGTAGAAGAACATTTTGACTCACATATTACATATTGTCAAATAACAACAAATTTAAAAAAATATATAAAACACTAGTAAAACGAAAGTTTAAATTTCAAAACAATAATAATAATTAACAACATTAAAATATAAATATGATTTTGTATCTTAATTAAATTAATTGAAATAAACGTTCAACAGGGACTGTTGAATATAGGGGTGAGTGTGTCATATATTATAATATACTTAATATATCATAATCATAATTATACAAAATATATCATAATCATAATTATACATAATTATATCATAATATGCGTGTGAACCACACCTGATTTTAATTATACTGTAAGATCCTCTTCTCAGATTTTAAGACAATTACTATAATTTTAGACTTTAAGATTTTTGAGAAAGAAATGAAGAGATAGATATAAATGTACTGCAGCGGAGTGCGTTTGATTTGTATCTGACTTAACTATATAATTCTAGAATATACATACATGTATTAAAAAATTTCTTAAATTTTATTTATATATTTATTTGTATATATATATGTATATATATGTATATATAAATATATTTACAATGTATGTTTATTGTGTATATATTGTATGTTAAGTAAACAAAATTAATGTTGTCAAAATTATAATTTTTTAATTTTTAATGGAAAAAAGTGACCTATAGCCAGCTAAAAAATAAACATTACAAAATACAATTTGCTTTCATTATATGCAATTATGCAAGATTTGCTGTTTACTAAAACATAATAGGGGTATTCAGGCAATTGATTAACTGCTTAGTAAATGATTACAACAAAACTTTGCATACAAAAATGAAAGTAAGCAGAGAATCTACTATTTCGGAGATTCTTAGATAAGTGAAAATTTGATTAATAGTGCTGCCAGTACCAAATGCCGGCGCTATGAGCATAGGGCGTCTAAAAAAAAAAATTCAAAATTAATAACATAATTAATAAATAAAATTCAGTAAAACTATAATTTTTAAAGGGATAAAATATAATTAAAAAGTATAAAATTGAATATTCTACTTCTTGATATGTGATGCGTTTGCAATTATAGGTATATGATGAATTATATGATAAATTTAAATGATATTAAAATTTACGAATATTTGAGTATTTCACTGTTAACATACGTTTCGCTTTTGCTGTTGATATGAGTGCCGCCAAGGTATTTGCACACAACAAACTAATCAGATTACGCATTATGGGTCGTTTAAGCAACTGATTAACATCAAAATGCTAATTTTTTTTCATATGAAGTTTTTGAATCAACTAAGCAACTAATCAGTTGCCTGAGTACCCCTAATATTTGACAAAGACAGAAAAGTAATGCCAACATCTCGCTTAGTGAAAATAGGCCAGCTAGCGTCTTTTTCCACACCTGCGAGCCACAAAAAAAGCTGAATAATTAAAAGCTGCGATTGCAAACATAACATACTCCTAAACCAAATTTAAAAAATTAATCAACGAATAAATATTAAAAAGTAGTGAAATTCTTGTGTACAGAATAAATATTCATAAGCTTAATATAATACTATGTTTACAATACGAACTTTGCTGGCTGAAATCGACTTTGAGCGCAAACCCGCAACCAAAGTCGATTTTGCCACATAAAAATAGGCACAACAAAACTCAAAGTTTGAATACAGTGCTGAATTTAATGCGTTATCGATAAGTTTTTAGTATGAAAATGGTGAAATGACATTTCGTTTTGTTTATACTTTTGTTTGTTTACATTTGTATTGACAACAATAAGTTGAATGCAAGCGGTGTTCATTAGAAAGAAACTTTCTATACCTATATAAAGAAAGTTGCATATAAAAAAGGAAATATAACAACAATTATATTTATAGAAACTTTTGTTATTAAAATAATTTTCTTTTATTACTACAGTGTTTAATCTCGAGTTCGGATTACCAAAATAAAAAAAATGTGAATGAAATTGATTTTTAATGAAAGTCATTTTATTTTTAATATTTTAAACTTTTATACAAGTTTTTAACAAAATTGTTAATTGTTATTTGCTGGGTTTGTTTCATTTTGTTCATTATATGCAATTTTTCTTAGACTAAGAAATTGTAAAATGTTCTATATTTATTTGCCGCTATTAATTGCAATATTTTGCCAATTATTTTACGGCGCCTTATTCAAATTTAATATAATCATTATTGAGAATTTTATTTTGTTGTGCAGATTCACTGCAGAGCAATGTAATTATATTTTGATCCATAATTTTCATAAATATATATAGTAAACAAGCACAATATTCACAAGTATCAAAATGTAAACAAACCAAATGTAAACAAAAGATAACAACAACAGCAACTGTCAAAATAAAAACCCGAAACGATAATGTAAACGCTGGATCAACTTTTGCAAAGTTCGTTCACTAAAGTTCGAAATGTAAACATAGTATAATAGTCATTTGTAAACCATATCTAACCTAATTTGTTTAAGTATTAATAGAAATCAAGTAATACTAACTGATATATGTGATATAAATATTTAATAATTTATAGATGTTGAAAAATTGTGTTCGAAGTTGTGCCATGTACCAAACACTTATATTGTTTTAAAATGCACATTGATTATATAATGAAATATATAATTATATTAATTTTTTAAAAGAATTATCTAGATGTACTTACACTTTGAAAATATATTTAGGAACAACCCTGTTTTTTTAAGGAACTGTGCCCTTTTGATACATTGGAATTGTTTAATGGAACACGTCTATTTCAAAATGGCGCTTTGTCAATGTGACATTTGAGTATTATTTTTGCAAATTTGGCAGCACTTTCGTCAGTAACCTTCCTTTTTACAATAGTTTTTGTGTAGTATACACGTGTTTCTAAAATGGCACCCGTCGAAAAAGTTAAAAAGTTGGCTAAAAACGACAAAAAAAAAGCAAAGCATCCATTAAATTCGTATTTGAAAGGCGGAATTCTGCGTTATTCAAAAAGCCAGGTACATGCTAAAGAAAATTGAAAAAAAAATTTAATCTGCTTATTTAATTCGAATGGTGCTGTATATGCGTTAATATTGTGGAATTATATACTGAAATTTTAACATATATCGAATGCCAAATAAAATATATTTTTATATAATATATTTATTCGTTTTATTTATAATTCGAGCAAAACATAAAATTACGAAAACTAATAATGTTACTAATATTATTGTGTTTCAGATGTACAAACGCCAAACTCTATATCGCCTTAAAGATAAGAAGAGCCCAGTTGTCAAGAGAGAAAAGCAGCCAATTAAGAAAGTGAAAACGGTTGGTGGTCCTAAAAACGGAGGCGAACGTACTGTTTACTTGAAAAAACCTAAAAGTAACTACCCAACCAAAAAATTCGTTGGCAAGCGTTCAGCTAAAAGGGTATTCGCTAATCACAAGCGAAACACTCGGTCTAATTTAGTACCTGGTCGAGTACTTATCATGTTGGCTGGTCGTCATCAAGGTAAACGAGTTGTTTTGTTAAAAGTATTAAGCTCCGGACTTTTACTTGTAACGGGACCATTTTCATTGAACTCATGTCCACTGCGACGTGTTTCTCAACGGTATGTAATTGGATGCAAAGCCCGTGTAAACTTAGGCGACTACAAACTGCCAGAACATATAAACGACAGTTACTTCCGTCGTTTAAAAATTAAGAAAGAGAAGAAGACAGGAGAAGCTGACATATTTGCTACCACAAAAGAACGATTTCAACCTAATGAACAGCGGAAAAAGGATCAAAAAGATGTAGATAATGTTGTATTAAAAGCACTAAAAACTCATCCAGAAGGCAAATACTTCAAAAAATATTTACAAAATATGTTTGCTCTGCATTCATCACAATATCCACATCGTATGAAGTTTTAAGCCTTTGTGTGCATTGAAAAATATTTTTTAATACATGAAATAAATATTTCATATCGAAAATAAACTTACAAGAAAAGTAACATATTCTTTGAAATTGTCAAGATAGGGGTGTTGTTGTGTAAGTTGATTTTATGGTTGCGTCTCTTAACATATTGTCGCCTGGTATATGTTGAAATTCATATTAAGTTTTTCGGTTTTGAGTTTAGTGTTTTTCACCAGATTTAATTGATGCATTCGAATAAATATTATTTTAAAAAATTAAACTAATTAAAAGTTAAAATATTTATGTATAGAATTAAAAATATGCTCAAAGTAAATGTAATTGAAGACCAATTAATTCCGTATCTTTAAAAATTAATTTTAATAAAGTTAAGTTTTGATCTAGCTGCACACTGTTCGAATATTCATCATCCATAGCCTTTAAAAATATTTATTAGTTTAATTAGCATATGTAATTGTTAGATTATTAGCATCGCTATCAAACCTATACTCGTATGTTAACACACAAAGCCAACGTACATTTAATTTGTGTTATTTGTTTTGAATTACACCCTTTCTTATTTATTCACGAACAACAAATGCATAGCTATATAAATGTACTTAAATAGTGTAAATGGATTTTTTTTTAAATTTTCGTTAATTTAAAATAATTTGTAATAAGTAAAAAATGTGTTCAATATGATCCCCTTCTCATTCGAAAATTTATAATTCTTTTGCCTACTATCAAATATATATTGATAGGAAAAATATTTTTTGGATAATTTACATTTTTATTAGTTTTATTAACATACATTTTACCTAATAACTTGTATATATAAGAAGCATTATTAAACAAAATGATACAATTTAAACACCTTAAATAAAAATACACTGATAAATAAAAAAACATTAAGATACATTAAATATTTTTTAAGTTGCAGATTCAAATAATATCGTTCGCTTAATGAATTACTTTCAAGTACTTCGATTTTCGAGTCATTATTATAAGTTATTTTGAGCGTCCAATCCCAATGAGTATCTAAATTTTCTACGTCCTTGTATGTACCACATCGTTTCTTGATATGATTGCGGTAATACCTCAGGAACTGTAGAAGGTGTTGTAAAAGTGTAATAAAATACATTTGAAGTCACTTGTTCACCAGACGCAGCATCCAAAACATCTGCAACAGTCATTACTTGTATGTAATTGGCTTGGGTGTAAACTACGTAAGCAGACATTTTTATAAATGATGAAACACTCACAGGCTTTTCAAAACTGATGTCACATATATGTTTAAGTTTAGCTGGACTTTTGTTATAAAGCCTTGCAGCAGCCCAACTTATTTCCAGCGCATTCCGCATAATAAATCCACCAAATACTTTATAGTGAGCATTCCGATTTTCAGGAAAACATGGAATAGTGCTTACGATGAATGATTTTGACATCCAACGACAATTCCCCGGCAGCACTCGCACATTAAGTTCCATTGTATTCAGTGGGGTGGTACGTTTATATAAATCGTACATAATAGTTTGTTCAAAATCGTTTGGTTCAACCTTGAAAATCGATTCTGCCTGTATCTTTTGACGATTTTGTTTACGTTTCTCACCCCCTAGAAGAATGTTTCGCTCTTCATCAGAAGCAGGTGAGATAGCGTTAACGGGTGCCGAACTAGTGTTTGTTGCGTTTCGAGCAGCGAAGAGAAATAACGCGCGTGTGATTTTCTTATAGATGCCATGATCCTTTTGCTCTAACCACACAACAACTTCCATTGAACTACGTCCAACCCAAGATATATGCCCAGAGAGACGAATATCTTCCGTTATGTTAGTTCGTATATCAGAAAAAGTTATTTTGTCAGCTAAAACCGTGACAAATGTATAGGGCAAATGTACGCTTTTTGGTAAATCAGGAATTTTTAAGTGCTGATGACATACCCATACTAAAACCAAGGTTTACTTTATAGAAACAGAAATCTAAGTTTAATATAGACTCTACCTGCAAATAGATCCATATCCTCCATTAACCTTCCTAGCCTAACATGGCCAAGAAAAGCAACATATTTATCCTGTAGCTGTTTATCTGTACTTAAAGGAATTATTGCAGATGTGAAAGAGTCCTGCATAGAACGAGGAGGCAAATTCTCTGCTTTTGGAAGATATTTCATTAAATGTTCTCTAGTTTTAGGAATGGGTTCATAACCTTCCTCCAAACCAAGACTGGTCATAATTTTTTCTTTTACTTTTTATATTAAAAATTTAAATTAATTTTTAACAAATCTGCTGTATTTCATACATTACCTTCCGCCATAGTACCACCAAATGAGGCGTCATTTTTCTGTAGACCAACGCTTCGAAACAATACCCTTGGATTTAAAAAAAAAAATAAAAAACGAACTCTAGTCAGCATTTACGCAAACAAATTCAAAAGCTAGCGATATTGGTTAATCAGAACTTACGATGCTAAAGGCCTTTGAAAGACCAATGAATTTGAAATAGCAAAATACGATCTGGAAAAATTTCGCATCATATTTTCAACGGAATTTAAACCAATTTCTCTAGAAATAAACTTTGTTTTCAATACTCTTTAACATAAATTCTTTGCTTATGTAGCCATAATCTAAAAGCAGCTGTACCAATGACACTGTATGACGAACTTCTAATGCGTAAATCACTTCATATATATTTGACAGAGGTTCCCAATGTGTGCGCTTTGCAACTCTTATTACAGCAATTTTGGCAAAGATCGTCAAAAGTCTTACGTAAGATCAACCGGAAATCTGTTTGTAAGATTTTAGCTACATGGTCCAAAAGTCTTTCAGAAAAGTTTTATGATTTGTATTTCGTGGTGGAAAGCTTTTTTGTTCTAATGCTTTCATGTTGAAATCAAAAACAGCTGTTAATCGCTACCAAATGCAAGTTAACAGTTTCATTTTAATACAAATGTCATGAAAAGCCACAAGACGTATGTTCCATTATGATAAGTATTTAGACATAAATAATTGTTTACTGAATTTAACTCTTCTAAGCAAAAAAAGCGAAGCAGTAATATCGGCATTAACACAGCAGTGGCAAAAAAATTAATTACAGTCAAATTTCTATAACTCGAATAAAAATATTGTCACTTTCCAATAGGAATATGGGAAGGTGCATTCGATATGTCTAATTTTTGTTTTAAGTATAAACATATTTTGCTGTCAAAGGAAGTCCCTTTCTTCATATCAAATGTTTAATTTTTTTTCTTCTTGTTATCGCATTTTGCTGTTAAGGGAAGTCTCTTTTTCCAAACCAAATGTTTAATTTTTGCTGCGTTTTCATTGTGAGATTAAAAGTAGATTAAAGCAGTAATCGAGATTAAAGTACTAATCTTGTCGTTTAATCTCAGATTTCCAATACAAAAGTTAATCTCTTTTGGTAGAGATTAATTTTTAATCTCCTTAGAAATGATGATTATTTTTCTGTACAACTTTGCAAATGTCTTAATTTCATAGATTTTTTTGCAGTCATATACGGCGTTTACATAGTGTGATTACACGTAAATGTACATAATTATATCTGAAATTAGTTAAATTATTGTTATAAAACTATTTATTAAATTTATATTACAATTTTATTGTACAAAATTGTAATTAAGTGCTTCATTTACAGAAATTTATCAAACACACAAAACAAAACACAACTCCAATATATAATATAAACGGTGGAGATTAAAAATGCAGATTAATTTAATTAGAAGAATTGTAAAATAAATCTAAATCTATTCAAAAGAAACTTTACAAATTTGAAAATGCCGAAATGAGTGAAATTATTATTAAATTTGTTTAATAATAGTTTTGCACATAATTATAACTAAAATTTATTAAATTATTGTTATGAAACTATTTATTAAATTTTTTTGTACACAGTTTTAATTAAATCCATTCTTTACACAAATTCATCAAACACATAAAACAAAAAATAACAAGAGAGACGTCAAAATTAATCTCCAAAGTAATAATACTACGTTCCCACTGCTTTCTTAGTAAGTTACTTAACAACATAGAGTTTTGCATTAGTCGTTTGCAATAGCACAAATTACTTAAGGTATCGGAAAGAAATTTTATGTGTCAAAAATTTCTAGTTGTAGAGCTTTTCTTTGTTTACATTTTAATTGTAAATAGCTGACATATATTTTGTATTGTTAAAAGAAAGTAATTCAGCATAGAAAAGGAGAAAAAAAAATAATTTAATATATAATATTTGTGATATTGTTCACAATATGAATGCAGCAGTTGTTGCATATACAAAAGAACATGCAATTATAAAAAATTACACATTATTCAAAAACAACAAATTTGCAATGATTACTATAAACCAAATGTAGTGCTGAACTTTGATAAATACGGGCAGTAAATATTATTCGATAGAGAGTAAAATACAACTGAGTTGCTATTTTAAAATAGAATGAAAAAAATTTGGAAAGAGGATTAAAAAAAAATAGCCCTTATGTCGGTTCTGAGAAAACAATAGGAGGCTTCAGAGCAAGTTTTCCGTAAGTTTTATTTTAACTAATAGCTAATAATAACAGTAATAACTTATAAATTAAAAATAAAAACAACAAATAATATATAATTATACATATATATTTTTATATAATAAAATAATATATAAAATAAATAATATATAATATAATAAATATATGTGGTGTCCACCCAAACATATTTATGATACGAAGGTGAAACCAAAGAAGTGTTTTTGTCTTGGTATAATAAACATAATATACCAGAATTTATATTCTGAATGAAGGAAATTTGGATCGTAATTAAATTTTAACAAGGAGTTGAGAAATACAACTCTGTAATTGTAATCCAATGTCAACCTATGTTCCACATTGAGTTGACAAGTATGAAAATGCAAGCGGAGACGGAAAAATTTTGATTGAGCAGAAAAAGTAAAAAGATTTTAAAAAGGTTGTTGTCAAAGTATAGATAAGTGAAGATTTAAAAAATTAAGCAAATTGTAACTTTATATTATAAATAAAAAAGTAAAAATAAATTGTCTATTGTAACGACATATATAATAATTACAAAATTTATATAAATTATATTAAATTAAATAATATAAATAATTATAAAATTTATATGAATTATATTATATTAAATTATTTATATAAATTATAATAATTAATAATTTACTAAATATAAAAATAATAATAAAAAAATATAGTCAGTTATAATCGATTTTACTTTTCTTACTGTGTTTTTTTTAGACTTCAAAGATGTTGACGACGCTGGCAGTAACGGCGAAAATGGCTATTAGAAATTAATATAAAGGCCAATAGCAAAGAATACCTTTTAGAGAATATCTTTTCAGAGAATATCTTTTTTCAGAATATAATCTTCTTTGATACCTTTACAAGAATGGAAACTCCTCCCACTTTGAGAGTAACGTAAAGAAATTGCTTTTGAAAACTTATTTTTTATAACATTTTGGCACACGTATTGAATACATGTGATCTTACCACGATAACATCAAATTGCTCTCTTTTGGGGTTGCAGTATAATAATTTTTTGGAGCTTGCTAATCATATGTTTATATTTTAGTAATATAAAAAACTTGTGCCTACAATAATTCAACATTAATAATTAATATTTGGTTAATAATTCAACATTACGTAAATAAAATATATATTGTAACAAATAATATATGATAAATAAATATATAAATTAATATATAATAATTGAAATCAATCAATTTAAATCAGTTTAGTTTGCTTAATCATGTAATATATATTCAGTAAATTAATTTTTGTCGTTTTTTTCATATAAGTTTTACAGTATTTTAATTTATTATGTTCGGCAACAAACCTTTGTAGAAGCAAATTTTTTAAATAAATAAAAAAAACAGTTTTGAATATTTCTTATTTAATGAGTTATATTTTCTTAAATATTTTTTGAGCGTGTAAAACATTATGTCAAAAACAATTTTGATATAATAGCATTAAATACCGTTTTGATGTGAAATTAATAACAAAAACTGAAAATACTACCAATTCACTTTTTTATACGGCAGCACTTAAGTGATGCATAATAAATTGTGTTTCTCTACGAAAGCTTAAGGCTCAGTTATACGGTAAGTAACGTAAGAAATTAATTCAAAGCGAAATGCACAACCAACCAAACTTTTGTGTTTGATCGAAACGAAATTAACAAAGTACACCGTTTTTGTTTGTTTCGTTCTTATCAAATACGCAGATTTAGTTGGTTGCGCATTTCGCTTCGAATTAATTTCTTACGTTACCCACCATCTAACTGAACCTTTAATTTTTAAATTCAGTGCTGAAAAATCTGTTGATGAGGGATGAGGGAAAGAACGCATTATTGCCTCACATGCATTTCTAATTGATCAGTAGCAATAAATCTGTTCATAAGCGAGGGTGTACGCGCATTCGCTCTAAATGTATGTGGTGAATAATACGTCCCAGTAGGGACCGTCATGCTGCTATCTTCCCTTACATCATGCTTACTTTTCGCCGGTCATCATGACGAGTTCCTTTCCGAATTCCCATGACTTTAATTAGTAGTTGGCCGCCGAAATCATGCATGACTTGGTAAAGTGCAAAAGGTATGCGGCACGAAATACGGAATTGACATTCGTAAAACTTCGTTTACGAATCCAAATGCACTTTACGATGGAAGCATGTTGTAAGCATGACAAAGTAAACTAAATCGTCATGGGCGATGCTTGTGCACGCAAAATATGAGGTGATCATTTTCAGCCTTACGACCTGCTTCCAAAGAAGGTGGTCACCTTCTTTTGTAGCTTACGAAGTCAGTAGGTTGTAAGGATGTTAAATGCATGCTCTTGCATTTTATATATATTTATTCTAAAATAAATTTTTATAAAAAAAAATTAAAAAACAATATATTTTTTTGTTTTAATTTATTAGAAAAATAAATAAACATTACAAAAACAATAGATTATAAATTTTTTTGGTTTAAATTTTTTTTTAAATATAAGTATTATTAATTTTTTTTGTTTTAATTTTTTCTTTAATATAAATAAATAAAAATTACAATATTATAAATTATAATTTTTTTTGTTTTAATTTTTTTTTTATATAAATATAAATTTTTTTTTAATATAAATAAATAAAAATTACAAAAGCAATATTTATTGATATTATAATTATAGATTTTAATTTTTTTTTTGTTTTTTTTATTTGTTTTTTTATTATTATAAATATTATATAAATAAATAAAAATTATTTGCTGCTTTCTTCCATTCTGTGCTTTCCTTTAACATTCTTTATGGCTATTCGTATATCCGAAATATACTCCTTTTCTGTATAGCCATCTTTTTGCAAGGCTTCTGTAAAGAAAAATAAGTTTTTAGTTTTATTTATTTATTTATATATATACATCAATTTTTTTATACCGAATATTGAAGCATTTAAGAATTTAAATTCCTTAAATGCTTTTTTGGTGCCATTCCATCATAATTTAACTCCAGAACTAACGTTCGATCGATGATTCGATGTAAGTTTTTTTTTATTCCCTCCGGTTGAATAATGGATTTTATTAATTTAGCCTAAATGGTTTCAAAAAGAAAAAAATTTATAAATCGAACGAAGTAATTCAATTAAAATTTAATCAAAAATTTTGTATATTTAGTTTTTGATTGTATGAAATTAAACTTACATATTGAGCACTTTTAGTTGCACAAAGTGCGTCCATATTCCCCAATTCTTCAAACGTCTTGATGGGAAAGCAGTTATCAGAAACTGCTGTATCGCTTCTCTTTTCCATCATGTTCATGAGTGTGTGGAATTTTACTATAACGTCAATGTTACTTTCTGTAAAAAAAAAGGGATTCTCATAAATAATTTTATTTTATTTAGTAATGTTAGTAATGTTACCTTTTACTAATTTCAACTCCTTGAGTATCGCGTCCTGATTTTGAGAAATTTTTCCCACAGATTCTTTAATTCTGGTTAATCGTTCTTCCAATGTTAATTTATTTATATTAAATTCACTTTCAATATTATATTCAGCCATTTTTGTATGTTTGGGTTCAAATCCTACATTGATGTCAGATATTGTATTATTAGTATTCCCTGTATCATCGCAATATTCTAAATTCTCCTGAATTGCATCTTGCGTTAAGCTACTACTATTACTAACACTGGGATCAATGTTTTCTGATACATTGCGTAATGCTAACAGTTCTCTTTTCTTTTTTGCACATAACCGTCTAACATTTCTTTTTGAAAAACCTTCCATTTAAATAATTAGGAAACCACCAAATATATAAACTACTGTTGAAAAAAAACACGAAAACGGAATGAAAAATAATAACTAACAACTTAAATTAAAATATAAACAAATAATTAAATAATAACAATTATTATACAACAACTATTAGTCCTAGTGAACGGACGTATTTTTAAGCCGGTCTTGGTGAATTTTAAATTGCAGTTTAAAACAAGTAGATAACACGTATTTTTTTGGGAATTGTTTTGCTATTGACACAAAAACACAATTATTATTTAATAATAAAACAAACTAAAAAGTAACTACATAAAACATTAAATTGAAAATAGTGCGCGTTATTTCAATTTTCGTTGATTTTCTCTTTGCAAAACTTTATAAAAATACTCAAACAGCTGACAGGGACAACAGATTAATTTCTAAAGTTCAATATAAAAACGCGGTTAATTCTGTGTGTTGTTTTTTTCACACATGTAAACAGCTGATAGAGACAGCATTAAATTCTTAAGTGCGTATAGTGTTGTAAAACAATTAATCTGTCACACATTTTTTTAAAAATTTCATATTGTGTAATTGTGTAATACTGTTAATTGTGTAATAGTCTAATACTGTTAATATGAAAGAGTGTCACAAGTGTCGTGGAGGTATCCGCGGTGAAACTGGGTTAATATGTTCAGGTGTGTGCGGCAAGGCATATCACACAGCTACCAAATGTTCTGGTGTAGAGCAATTTAATATTAATTGCTTAAATAATCCTATGATTCATTTCAAGTGCGAAGACTGTGTGCAATATGTTCACAATGTTGATTTTGCACTTAGGGAAATAAATGAAAATGTGGGAAAAAATAATAATTATCTTAAAGAATATAAAAATGAATTTAAAGACGCATTGAAAGTTAATGAAAATGAACTTAAGTGTTTATTAAAATCTATCGAGGCTAAATACTCTGATAGAATCAATGCTCTGAAGAAAGTTCAAGAAGCATACGTAAATAAATTTACGGCACTTGAAGAAAAAATGTTAAATTTGTCGAATAATTTAAAAAAAGATAATAAATTATTGTGTTCTGAATTATTAAAAAAATTTAATAAAAGTGAAGATAAGAAAGAATCTTATGCAGAAAAACTTAAATCGAGTAATACATCTACTGTACCTATTACAGTGAAACCTATAAGGAAACAGTTAGGTGATGACACTAAAAAAGACTTAAAAATGAAAATTAATCCGTCTGAACTTAACATGAAGGTTAATGGTTTTCGAGCTAAAAATGATGGCAGGGTTACTATTAAATGTGTTACTTCAAAGGAACGTGAAATTCTTGCAAATGACATTAAAAAAAATTAAGTGACCAATATATAATCGAAACACCTGCGCTTCGATACCCCAAATTATTCATCTCGGGTATTAGTGAAAAGCTAGAAAATGAGGACCTAGTACTTGCCATAAAAAATCAGAATAATATTATAGTTCAACATATTAAAGTGTTAAAAGTTTATGAGTCTTATAAAAATAAAAAAACATTTAATGCGATTGTTGAAATAGATGGCAAAGCTTTTAAGCAATTTATGAAAGAACGTCGAATCAACATCAAATGGGATAGATACATAATATATGAAAGTTTAAACGTAATGAGGTGCTATAAGTGCTGGGGCTTTAACCATAAGGCGAGTGTATGCAAAGAAAATGACCATGTTTGTGCTAAATGCAGTGAAGTGGGGCATTCACATAAGGAGTGCAAAAGCGATATTGTCAAATGCATTAATTGTGTTAAAGCTAAAAAGTTGCTGAATCTCCATGATCTTTCCACTGATCACGACTCTAGGAATGTGATATGTAAGATCTTACAACGCAGAACTAGACAGGAAGCTGAAAATATTAACTACTAAATATGCAGGATCACAAAACACTTATCAATATTTTTTCGAGTCAACGGTGTGGTGTTAATATGGTTCATTTTAATGCAAGAAGCCTCTCTGGCCTTAAATTAGATTATGTTAGAAGTGTTTTTGAAGGCTCCAAAGTTGATGTCATTTGTGTTTCCGAGACTTGGTTTGATCATAACATAAGCAGCGTTTTTTTTTCCTTGAACGGTTTTGATTTATTTAGACATGACAGGAAACATAGATTAGGTGGCGGAGTGGCTATTTTCTGTAAGTCACATTTAAAAGGTCAATTAGTGTCTGTCTCAATGGAAACTGAAATTGAACACATTAGCGTGCGTGTACTTGCTGGCAACTACAAAATTTTAGTTACTTGTGCCTAACAAAATATTTTTCTGCGATCCTCTCTTTGATTCTCTTCTACCTATTGCCGTTAAGTTTGATTTTCTTGCAGTATTCGGCGATTTCAATATTGATTTCCTATTAAATTCTGCTAAAGCAGCTAAATTAAATGACCTTATGACTATGACGGGTTTAAGTGTTGTAAATAACTCCATGCCTACTAGGTTTAGCAACAATGTACGACCTAGTCTTCTTGATTTAGTTGCTGTCTCTGACTTGAGTAAAGTTTTGTTTTTCGAGCAGATTTCGTTTGTGTCTGACCATGACTTATTATTTGTGACTTTTGATTATAATGCGACTAAAACATTTACTCCTACACAATTCTCTTTTTGGGACTTCAAGTCTATTGATACTCGGAGATTGTTCAGTGAACTGAATTCTGTTGACTGGAGTAGTTGTTGGTTTAGTGCATCAGTAGATGAAAAATTGGGAGTCTTTAATAACATATTGTCAGATTTTTTACATCGTTTTGTGCCGTATCGTACAGTATGTGCAAAAAATTCGTCTTGTCCTTGGTTTAAGCCTTATATTAAACGAAAAATTAACTATAGAAATAAAAAATATGCTGTTTGGAAGAAATATCCCACGGCACTCAATTGGATGCGATTTAAAGTGGCTAGGAATTTAGCTTCTGCGGCTATTTATAAAGCCAAATTAATGTTCTTTAAATCCAAACTTGGAGGTCGTCAGCAAACAAAATCTCTCTGGGATAATATTAAATCTTTAGGAATTATAAAAAACTCCACAGCTGTGTGCTCCTTAGATCCCAATAACCTAAATGATTATTTTGTTTCGTCTGTTGGTAGTAGATTGAGCGTCAATCCTGCTTTCCCTTGTCTTGAACATGCCGGCTCTGAGAGTATATTTAGTTTCGAGTGTGTTAGTGAAGAAGTACTTTTCAATAGTGTAATGAAAATTAAATCAAATGCAATTGGTATTGATAAAATTCCTTTGAAGTTCTTAAAACTCACTCTTCAGTCAATTATTTCTCCTCTGACACATATAATAAATCACTATTTTGCTTCTTCAACATTTCCTAATACATGGAAGCTTGCAAAAATTATTCCAATTGAAAAAAAGTCAAATGCATCCCTATGCTCTGACTTTCGCCCAATTAGCATTCTTTCCTCGCTCTCGAAGGTGTGTGAAAATATCATGGCTAACGCTATTCGTTGTCACCTAGATCGTTTTCAGCTTCTTTCCCCTTTGCAATCTGGGTTTAGAAAAGGTCATAGCTGCACGACTGCTATGTTGAAAGTACTTGAGGATGTTCGAATCAGCTATGATCAAAACTTGATTACATATCTATGTCTACTTGATTTCTCCAAGGCTTTTGACCGCGTTGATCATTCTTTGCTTTGCAAGAAACTTGTCAACTCCTTCTTATTTTCTAAGTCGGCGGCAAAATTTATCTTTAGCTATTTAAGTGGAAGGTCGCAGTCTGTTGTGGTATCGAATGAGTTCTCGACTTTTAAAAATCTTCACACTGGAGTTCCTCAAGGGTCAATCCTGGGTCCCCTTTTGTTTTCAATTTATATAAATGATGTCTTTTCAATTTGTAAGTATACTAAATTGCATGGGTATGCTGATGACATCCAAATGTACATTTCTTGTGATTTCACCACTATTGGTAATCTAATTCAAAAGATAAATGTTGATTTAAATAATATTAACACTTGGGCCGTTGAAAATAACATGCTACTTAATGCCAAAAAAACAACTATTTTGCCAATAAGTAGGTTAAAACTGGATGTAAATAGTTTGCCTCAAGCGTCTATTGGGCAATCCTTTATTGAATACAATACTTCTGTAAAGTGTTTAGGTTTCCATCTAAATACTAACTTACATGCTTGTGACCACATCAATCAAGTTGTTAGGAAAGTATACACTTGCCTCAGATGTCTTAATCTATCAGCGAGATTTACCCCTGTTGCTACTCGCTGCTTGTTGGTAAAACAGTTAATAATTCCTATTATTATGTTTTCCTCGTTAGTTTATTCCAAATTAGACGCGGTGTCTCTTACTAAGTTAAGAAGTCTAACCAATTCCATGACACGATATGTTTACGGTCTCAGAAGATTTGATCACCTGGGTAATTACAGGAATGCAATCTTAGGTTGTGACATTGAACAGTTTATTAAGATTCGTGTCTGTCTGTTTTTGTTTAAATTGGTTAATGCTAAATCACCTGAATACCTTTTCAATTGTCTGAAACGAACACGATCTAATAGATCTCTTCTATTTATTATTCCAAGGTTTAACTTTATTTCCACAACAAGTTTTTTCTTTATCCACTCTGTCAGAGTATGGAATTCGCTCTCATGTGAAACCAGAAACACAACAAGAGTAGGAGCTTTTAAAAAACTGCTAATTAATGAATTATATTGACACCACCCGTTCTGTCAATTATTTCTATTTTTTAATTGATAATTTTCTTTAATTGTCATTTTTTAACTTTCTGCTTGTAATGTTTATTTTTCTATTCTAAATTTTTAAATTTTTAATCTTAAATTTAAAAAATTTTTTTTTTGTATTCTTTAATATAATTTAATTTTTAATTTAATATTTTTTTTTAATTCAATCTCTTGCCTTTGCTTTATCATCTAATAATTTGTAAATTGTTATATATTAAGTAAATAATATCTCTTTTTTATCTCTTTTTTGTTAGTTTTTAAGTTAGTTATAAGATGATGCAATGAAAGGGTTTTTTGACCCTTAAAGCATTTAAAATAAATATTCCAGTAAATAAACTGGAAACAGCAACAGAACTGTAGACTGAAACAGA